AAATAGTAAAGATATTTTAGAGGGAGATGTGACAGAATCCATGCAAATTAAAGATTATATCCTTGCATATACGTATATACAACATGAATCCTCTGCAGGGAGAATATCTTTCCATATTCCTCATGAAAATATTTTTCAGTACAAAAAGGAACAGCCCAAGGGCAATGCAGGAAAACCTACAGCAAATGCAGAGTAGATGGTGACTCAGTGTCAGTGCATGCCTGTGTGCGTGTGTGTGTGTGTGTGTCTGAGTGTGCGAGAGAGAGACAGGCATGTGGCTGGGGAGTTTAAGGGCAGGGTGACAGTGGCATGAGCTCGAGTTAGTCATTATCCCTCCTCGTCATCCCAGCTGCTCAGTCTACATCCTCTCTCACCTCCGCTGTCAACATTCTGTGTATTGCATCTGTTTGTGAGAGCATCTGCTCTCCCACCCCCGTCCTCTAGGACATGTGGTTAAAATCTCAGTCTGTTAGGCATCTCTGCACTCTGGGCGGCCACTGCCTAGATCAAGTGCCAACGATGGAGGTAAATGTATCAGCGGACACACTTCCCAAAGCAGCAGGCATCCTCGGGGATTCACACACCTTCCAACAGAATCTTGAAAGTAAACTCCATCAGCCACTCTGGTGCTCAGGCCGGGGTTGGCAGTGGCAGGTGATACTACTGCTGTCACCACGTTCTAGGCTTTTAGGTGCACGGAGCAGGGCTGGCCCAGAAGTCACCTTCATTGCTCCCTTCTCCTTCCTTGTGTGGCTGTTACCCCAATACGTTAGAGTGGATTTTATCTTTGTGGTTGGCTTTCATAGGTCGAGGGCTTGATCTAGTTAGATGTGAGGGTGGGCATCTCTGGTCATTGTAGACTATCATCCGAGAAGGGATTTTTCACCTCATCAGCTGAAATCCCTCATCATAGAGACAGGAAGCTAAGGCCTGGGAGGAAGAGGAGTGCCTTTGGGTGTGGCTGGGGCGAAATCCTCTCTCCTGAGTTGGGGTCCAGGGATCTGTTCTCCACATTGACCTTCCTTTCTTCTTCATGTCCCTTACATGGCATTCCTGTACTTTGCTAAGCTTTCTTTCAGGAGTTCTCTGTTAAACATTTTATGTATTACTGTATTATTTTATTTTGGCAGGGGTGAATAATTAAGTTTATTTATTCTTAGAGGAGGGACTGGGGAATTGAACTACCACTTGAGCTATACCCTCCCACTCTGTTAAACATTATTAGTTTATATTTACTCTGAAAGCTTTAAACTGTCAGACAAAATTCCCATATTGTGGGCTGAGATTAGATCTCAGATTACACCCACGCTCCCTAAGCTGAGGCAGAGAATCCACCGCACCTGAGCTCCTTTTCCATAAGGAGCCCTCAAACTACCCAGCCAAATAACTGACTGTTGGTCAGCTTAGCTGGGGATTTGGGGAAAAAACACCCTACCCTGTGCTGGCTTTGTAATGCGTCAGTTTACCTGGGCTGAGCCACACTTTGCAGAATCCCTTTTCTTGTATGTTTCCAGTTAGGACGGGCCCCAAAGGAGACTCTCGTGGGGATTTGGAGGGTGGATATGAAGCCGCAGCGTTGTTACAGCCCATAGGTCGTCGCTTGGGCTGGCTCACCTTGTCAGCAGCTGACCCTGCATCTGCTCCATCCTCCCCTGGGTCCCCCTGCAGCTTCTCTGGCCCTGGGTCTCCCCAGGTGTGTGTGTTTAGCTGTGTGGCAAAGGGCCTGTAGCCGTGGCTTCAGCTCGTTGCCTGGGGCTCTAGCTTGTTGCCATCCTCCACTGTGCATTCTCCCTCCCTGGCTTCTGCCTGCCCTACAGACTTCAAGCTCCAGCTGCAATACAGACACTGCTTTGCCAGCTCCCACAGTTACTTACCTGGCGTCAGATTCCTGTAAATTATACGTACTGTATATTTTATATACACACACATGTTCACACCTGAAGTGGTTCTGTTTCTCTGGTTGAACCATAACTAACACACCTCCATCCTCCAGAATCCACTGTCTTATTCACCATTACTTTCTTAGTGGCTTGGGTGGAGTGTCTGGTGGACAGTACCACTTTGGACCTCCAGAATCCTACCCTCCAGACTTCTCCAACTTCCAAGGGTTCTACACCCCAGGGAACACAAAGTAAATTCAAACCCCAACCCTCTTTAGTGATGAAGCACATCCAATACCCAGCAGCAACAGCAGCAGAAGAAAAGCCCAGCACTGGGGGAGAAGCAGCTCAGGCCAGCAGGAGACACAGGGGAAGTGGAAGAATGGGCAGAGAGGCCAGCACAGTGGACCTGACCTTGAGGAGCGGCAGTGGCCACAGCGGGAAGCCAAGACAGGCAGTGGACGTAGGTCCTGGATGGAGAAGATGAGAACTTAGAACTTCAGCATTTCAGGAGCAGAAGAGCTTGCTGTAAGCAGCTTTGTGGTGTCACTGCGCCTCTGCTGACACCAGCAGGTGCCCATCCACACACAGCGGGCAGTTGGAGTCTAGAAATATATACCCCACCTCCTGGCTGCCCTGGGTACTAGTGATCCGAAGGGTCCTCAGAGTGTAAAGAACTATTCAAGGAATATAGAGTTATCACCTAGATAGCTTGCAAGAGACTTTTAGTCTCTCATTATTAAAGATAGAGTTTAAGGTTCCAGACGCTTGGAATTCTGGTAGAAGCCAGATACGAAGGAGAGACTGGAGGAAACCATCTGAAGGTGTCCTCGTGGTCTGCGTGATCTTTCCCTTGGAATAAGCCCTGAGATCTTGGGTGATTGAGGAAAATGTGACTAGGGACGGAAGAATAAGAACAAGCCCTCCAGAAAGCACCTCTGGCCTGTGACGTTAGGCCGACAAGCTGAGGGAGTTACCAGAAAGGCGATGATGACCTAGAGAGCTGGAAAATAGTCCTAGGAAGCTTGCTCCCACCCCACGCCCGCTGGTTGGTTTTGCCACTGAACCTGTGTCTCTGCCCAGGAGGGCACTTCATATTACTCACAGGCGAGAGAAATAGAAGCAGGCTATCATCTTGGACTTTTAAGAAAACATTTCTTTCTAGAGTCATAATATCACTTTATGGTCAACTTCCCACTTCCTTTGCATCTCACATCTCAGCGGCACAGCACAGATCGTGATGTTCGTGATTGTGGCCCGTGGGCATCCCTGTCCTCAGTGTGGTCCATTTAGGAAGGCAGGGAGGTCTGTAAACACACTCCACTTTTTGGAGTTACTGCTTAAAAGCCTCCTTAGCTCTGATTTCTATATTCCTCCTTGTCTGTTTCCATAGAACCCTGAACAGAGATTGTTCTTGTCACCTTATTGATACCTGTTTCTCCTTGACTCTGACTCCACAGACAGCAGTTCCAGCCCTTGATTCAGGAGAATACTTGATACTCCAGTGAATGAATCTTTAAATTCCGTTATCTACGAAGTCAGGCTTTTAAGGGGCTGAATAGCTGAGGTTTTACTCTCCATTCTAAAAATGAAATAGAATTTGGGTGAGCCTAATTGAAAACGTTTCCAGTGGGTTTGTGTTAATTACTTGGTGGATGAGAGCGCTCAGCTTGATGTGCTGCAGGAGGGAGCTGCTAAAGTCGAAGCCTCAGAGCTTTTTCATCTCAGCTCCTGCGCGTCCTGCTTCCATCCTGGTGCCTCCCAGCCCATCAAGGTCGAGCCTCCTTCCTCCCGCTGCATCGTGTGATTTTTTTTTAGCCATGTCCACATCTCTTTGCCCACATAAAACGTGATTCTAAAGGCACACTCTTTCTGGATACAAATGTGCCCTTGAAGCTGTTTTCTTTTGATAATAGAGATTAGCACTCCCTGGCCAAAAACAGAGGCAGAAAAGGGAATGTGAAGCTTAAGATACCACTCTGTAAGATGATACTGACATAGTTTTTTTAAAAATTAGAGTTGATGTATAATATTATTAGTTTCAGGTGCACAACATAGCAATTCAGTATTTTTATAGATTATATTCCATTTATAGTTATTACAAAATATTGGCTATGTTCCCTGTGTTGTACAATATATCTCTGTAGCTTATTTATTTTATACATAATAGTTCCTCTTAATCCCCTACGCCTGTCTTGTGCCTCCCCTTCCCTCTCCTCACTGATAACCACTAGTTTGTTCTCTATATCTGTGAGTCTGTTTCTGTTTTTAGATTCCATGTGTAAATAATAACATACAGTATTTTTCTGTCTGACTTCATAAGCAACCAGGTCCATCCAGGTTGTTGCAGATGGCAAATTTTCATTCTTTTTTATAGCTGATAATATTCACACACACACACACACACACACACACACACACACACATCTTCCTTATCCATTCATCTGTTGATGGACGCTTAGGTTACTTCCATGTCCTGGTTATTATAAATAATGCTACTATGACATTGGGGTACACGTATCTTTTTAAGGTAGTATTTTCATTTTCTTAGGATATACACCGAGGAGTGGAATGGCCAGATCATATGGTAGTTCTATTTTTAATTTTTTGAGGAGCCTCCATACTGTTTTCCATAGTGGCTGCACCAGTTTACATTCCCGCCAACAATGTGCTAGGGTCCCCTTTTCTCCACATCCTCACCAGAGTTTGTTGTTTGTAGCCTTCTTGACCATGGCCGTCAACAGGTGTGAAGTGATACCTCATTGTGATTCTGACTTGCAGTGCTACTTTCATATGCAACAAAACCGGACATCCTCGCAGGAGCTACAAAAGTTGTAAAAAAGAAAAAGGGTTTTGGACAGAGAAGAAAAAAAATCTGAGGAAGGATAATTATTTTCACAGGTGCCCTCAGGAGAAAACGCAGATGAGGGTGAAGCTGTAGCTCTAATTAGCAGTTGGATAAATGTTGAGGATTATAGCACAGCAGGGTTTACATTCCATTTCCGGAAGCACAGCTCTGCAAGAAACTAAACGCACTGGCTGAGGCTCTCGCGGCTGCGTAAGTGTGACCCGCGCTGAAATGTTCCCGAGTCAACCCATTCCTTGTCCCTGTCTCCACAGCGCCAACCTGTCCAAGGCCGCCTGGGGAGCGTTGGAGAAGAACGGCGCCCAGCTGATGATCCGCTCCTACGAGCTTGGGGTCCTCTTCCTCCCGTCAGCGTTTGTAAGTGCCCGCTTGAATCTGCCAGATTGGTCACCAGGGAAACGGAGTGGGTGTGTGTGTTCCCTTCCTTCAGTCTCCATGACCTGCCCGGGGTCTAACCTGGGGCCCCTGCTTCAGCCACAGCCCCAGCCGGGGAGTTCATTCAACATTGGCTCTTCTGGGAGCACAGGATCGCTGCTCTCAGGAGGTGTACCCGGTTAGTGATGGAAGATACTGACTTGGGTGACGTTAAGAGCAATGTTTAAATAAGATTGGGAAGCAGGATGTGAAGATTTGCTTCAAGGTGGTAAGTGACAAGTCACCAAAGGAATGACTCAGCCAAATGCCCGACAGTTTAGGCCTGGGGGACTGGAGACCGCCCTCTGAGGGCCGTGGAGGGAGGCTGAGGATTCACGGCCAGTAGAGAAGCTGGGGGGAAAACGGCCTGACCACAAGCCCAGGGAGGCAGGGGAGCTCACAGCACCTGCTGGAGAGGAGGTCAGGGGGTCGCAAAGGGCACGTGTTATCAGACTCACGGGTAAGCCCCCAGAAGGCACCGCAGTGGAAGCCGTGTGTCTCTGTCAAGGTGTCCAGCGCAGCCAGCTTGACTCCTGGCTTTAGAACAGCGCGCAGTTTCTGCAGCTGAACACCCAAAGGGGCTAGTTTTCATGTAGGGACTGGGTTGTAAAAGCTGTATGTTTCAGTAAACACTAGAACCCCTCTTGGCCCAAAGCCATTCCCTCTCTCAGCAGCACACAGGCCCCTGGCCTCCGTCTCACCGCCACCCTTGCTCTGGGCTCAGGCTCGTCGGTGGATGCCGTCAGCTGCCCACACGATGTGATGCGCAGTGCCTTTTTCTTTTCCCTTCTTTGCCGCTTGCTATAGTTGGGTTTATAGTTAAACGCACACATGATGCAGCCCCATGGTAAACCACTGGGGCTGGACCAGAAGGTTTAGCCAGGGGAATGCCAGGTGCTTGTCCTGAGACTCAAATCCGGGACCTGTGACGTGTGGGTGTGGTCTCAGGGCGAGCGCCCCGCCCCGCCCCGCCCTACAGTCTCCTCCTCCCTGTTCCTTCTCTCACGTGCTCTGGGGAGGAGCTGCTTTCTCCCTTTCTCTCTCCTCCCCTGGCCATCATCACCTGACCTTTTCTCCTTCTCAGAGGGTTTCACCGCAGAACTGTCCTGGGGCCTCTCCTGAGGGCAGAACATAAGATTCTAGCACTTTGTGTTTCTTTCCTGCGCAAACAGCTGCTCACAGCTGAAGATCGCCACCGCCGTAGCCCCGCCAGCGGATGGTTTCCATAGACAGGGATGTGACCTCCCTAAGGTTCCACCCCGGAGTGGGATCCGGCCCTCAGACCTCTGTCTCACTGATCCTTCTGTGATTATTCAGCTGTATCTTAGGAAAGCAGTAAATTCACAACACTAGGTATTAATACTCAGTCCTTTGGTGTGATTATAGTGGCTGTAGCTTTGAACTGAGGCTAGAATTATCTCCCAGAATAACTTAAATAGTGGAATAAGTTCTGTGTCACTCTTGTTACGCTTTTGGTGTCAGCATTTGCAAAATTCTAGTCATTTCTAACTGTTCTGACCTGATCCCTCATCATGAAAATGATAATAGAAGAGTATACTGCACTTCCAGGACCTTTGCACTCTTAAGCTGCTAATTTTCTGCCTCCAAAAATGTTTCCAAC